AGTGCATCGATTTACTGTTCAATAAATGATCAATGGGACGGTATATTTTAGGGTTAAATATTTACCATATGTATGTTTTTTTGGAGGTTTTTGCGTTATGTTTTATGTAACATAGTTATATTTTAGCTGTAGAGGGCTGAATAAGTTAGCCTGATTCATCTGACCTTGCAGCATTAGGATTTGTTCGTTCGACAGTAGGTGGGTACTTTTTTTATTTAACCAATCATTGCTATTTGGTCGTGATGTATGTAATGTGCCACTAACAGGGCTAATTGGTATAAGGTTTTCCCAAATCCCATAGGAAGAAGGACAATAACGTCTTTCCCCTTGATAAAATTCACCAAACATTCTCTTTGTTCCGCCTTTAAATCCTCAATCTCGGGAATCGTTGCCAACACAGAATGTCTGGTTCTTCGCACTTGCACTTCCAGGGTTCTTGCACCTAGTCACTGGAGAGAAATGAAATTGAGCGGAGGCACTAGGTGGCGCCAGCCTGGCTGATACATCACAGGGTTGTCAAAAGTATTGAAAATCAGATACTAATCAATACTAAAACTAGTACTCTAAAAAAATTGAAATTAGATACTCATATGAGCAGGTATTGATACTTAAAAAGTCATATTCACAGGACAAAAATGAACATTTCCTGAATAGCTTTCGAATAATCTTGAGCTGTGTCAGAACAAGTATAAGAGCACATAGACTAATATACGCCCATGGACCACTGAGGGATTAAACAGATATAAGACAAACATGGTAATATACAAGTACTATGATTTAATGTTATGAATCACATTCTATTGTCTAAAAAAAGAGTGTTTATTATTATTGTGGTATCAGAATAACTATTGAGTATTGAGTCTATTCCTTAGAATCAAAATACATTTTTTTACAACATTTTTGTATCGTCACAACTCTAATACATTGTGCTTGAACATTTTATCGTGACAGGTCAAGCCAATAAAACAGAACAGAGCGAGGACAAAGGGAGGAGAGAGGGCACTTTGAGCCTGGTAATGTCTAACTAGAGGGAGGGGAGCAGCCTGTTTACTGCCCTGAGTGGCTGGGTGTGTATGGGAGGGTACAACTGTTTGAAGGAGGTTCACCCAGGGGCCTTGCTCAGTTAGAGCCCTGTGGAATCTACCCTCAGGGGGCACAGAGGGGTTCAGAGCCAGGGCATGTCTCTGGAGCTAGGGAGAGGGCAGAGAGGGCACTCAAACACAAGACACAAGTGTGGAAGTGTCATCTCTTACGGGGGGGGGGGGGGGGGTGTATTTTTAAAGGTAAGGTCGCCTCTCCACAGATCTGACATGTAACTTGGACTGGTTTGGTCTCCATGAAGATAGGACGGTTTAATGCCATACTGTTCATTCCAGACAAAACAATAACATGGAAAAAAGCATGTGCCAGACCCTTTAAGTCCTCTGAAGACAACTTACACTTGTATTTTTGAGCCCAGTTTAATTCTGATGAGGCCTTGGTTTGATCCTGTTCTAGTTCTGAGTTAGTTCTGGTCGAGGCCAGATTTTCATGTGGTGTTTGTGCAAATGTGACGCATCCTTAATATCCTGTAACCATGGGATTTTATAGTTTGTATTCACATGACACCACTGCCCATAGTTTAGAATTAAGATGGAGGACAAATTAGAACTCTGAAAGTCAAAATGCCTATAGTGGTTATTCAGAAGTGCGAAGCACTGCCCTGCTGTATGTTGTGTGCTCTATGTATGTACAGTATGTATACATGCTGTACATACAGTATTCTCCAAAAGAGTTCAGAAGATAGCTCCTGTACCTTCCTGGACAGTTTCTCATTGTCTTTTTGGGTTATATCTCCACCAACTCCGATACCAGTGGTTTGAGAGTCTCTGCAGGCCTCTGGATTCGACCTGTTTGTGTTTTTCATGTCAGCGGTTAAATTGTTCCTTCATCTTTTCAAGGACTTTAGTGGTGCTGGATAGCTCTTGTTTGAACTGGACATTTTCTCTTGTGGCTATATTTATGGTTAACATCACTGTAATTACTGGTTAATTACAGTGATATTAACTAATTAATGGGATTCTTGTAATGGTATACAATTTCATATTTCAGTCTTCTATCAAATGTATGCTTCTGAATATGTTTAAAGGTCATATATTACCAACAGTTATTCTTATGAACTTTAAACCATGTTATAATGCTGTTAGCTCACCACATACATATGTGGAGTTACGTTTTGTTTCATTCATACATCCTTTATTATTAGTGTGTCCACATCTCCAAAGCTCAAAATGCTCTCTTCCACCTTGTGATGTCATGTAGTGGTAGTTTTCGACTTAACCGTTGTGCACTGTGAGCTCAATCCAGTAAAAAACCCACTACCAATCTGAATCTATGAATACTTGTAGTGTTATATGTCCATTTATTTGATATGTCAAATCCACCCATGTGATTTTTTTTTTCGACATTTTGATATGATAAATAAAAAATCTCTGTGAGTTTTTGAGATGATCAAATCCCATCACTTGGAATGATCACATTGTATTTGTAAAAGTGAACAGTCTTTTGAGTCTTTTTCAGCTCTTGTGTGGCCCCTGCCCTTGTGCCCTTGAGCCTGAAGACATACACGCACCCAGCGGTCACAGACGGGTCAGGGGAAGGCCAGAGGATGAAAGGAGGTCAAGAGGTGAACAGATCAACACCAGAGGAGAGGGAGAGATGGGAACCGAGAGAAACAAGGAAGAGAGAGAAAGAGAGGAGAAACGGAGAGAGGGAACTGAACAGATCAACACCAGAGAATGAGAGAGAGAAGAGGAGAGTGACAGCTTTGTGGACAAATTTAACGGTCACTTCTGTAGTTCACTCTCATGACACTTGTGTCAATGACCAGAGGGGGCAATAGACGCTCAGGGAGATTCATTTTAGTTAGAAATGTCTACTAAAAACACCACTGCCAATGTATTCTTGTGATACCCAGTCTGTGCAGTTTCTAATTATTGCATTTGTCATGTTTTAAATAGTCAATATGAAATAATAGCCCCAGTTATGATTAATAGAACTGCGATTCCAAGTTTAAAGTTTAAATTTGGGTATTAAAAAAACTGTTTATTTAGTTACGACAACAAATAATTTACATGTTTATTTTTTCGTTGGACGCCCTTCCTGATCTACCCACAAGTCTTGGCCAAGAACCACTGTATGCTCCTGTTAATATACCATAAATTGCAACTGCCGATGTTGATGCAGAATAAGTCAGGACTACACCAGGACTACACTGAGACCAAACCAAGAGTAAACCAGGACTAAAACAAGAGTAAACCAGGACTAAAACAGGACTAAAACAGGACTAAAAGGACTAAAAAAACTTGGCTGTTGGTGTAGAATAAACCAGGACTAAACTAGTAATAAATCAGAATTAAACCAGGACTACATTGAGACCAAACCAAGAGAAAACCAAGACTAACCAGGACTAAACCAGAGCTATAGCAGGATTACACTGAGACTAAACCAGGACTAAACAATTTCAGTCATGGTGAAATATGGCATGGCAGCTTGGTACGGTCCCCTTAGAGCACAGTGCAAAGCCAAACTGCTCAGACTGGTAACTAAAACTCTAAAATTGACAGAGAAACCTCTCCAAAAGCATCTACAGTGCCTCTATGAGGACAATGTGGTCAGTCAGGCCAACAAAATTATGAGTGACCCATTTAGGCCTGTCACAATATTTACTATATTGACTTATCTTTCAGTATATGAAAGCTAGAACCATATATTTTGCAGCTCAGTATTTATCGTGTGTACATTTTCTTTGTAAAAGTGGGGAGATCTGGGGTACTTCTGTTGTAATACTATAAGTTTTGAGCTGTAGAGGTTGAAATAAGTCACTTTTATGGTTTAATTATTGGTTCATTCTGGTATTTATTTGTTGTAGCTCAGGTCTCAGCTTCATTGTTATTGTGTCAGTGGCATAAAGTAGTTTCAATATTTAATTAATTTATAATAATAATAATTTATATATCGTTTACCACAGTTTACCACAAAATTTGTTATCATGACAGGCCTAGACTATAGATCCAGCTTTTTCAGTTTCGATACCGATTACAGTATTATGGTTTTAAGTATATCAACCAATACAAACTGCATTTATTTCCTTAAAACAAAAATTTAAAAGACAAAACTGCTTTAAATGTGTTATGGAGCTGTTATTTATCTCTGAGGTAACTTTGTATATATAAAAGTTCAAACATTCTGAGATGTTTTTAGATCGGTGCATCGCTAGCCTAGACCCATCTAATCCTAACCCTCCCTAACCCTGAGCAGCAGTGCATCCCCTGAGCCCCTTCAGACTCACACTCTCCCGTTAATACACTCCATCTGCTGGATCTGCCCTCATAGATCTAACATCTAGGCAACCAATGCTGTTTTTTCTCTACTGACTATGATGTTATGAACTACACAAACTGCACTGATTTTACAAGCGACTGCAATGCGTTCATTTCTGTTTTTATTGCATTATCTGCACCTCTCTATTTGAGGTCTATGCACCTTGCACTTCATGCCCAAGACAATTTTCCACTGATGGAACAATAAAGTTTATCTTATCTTATACCATAGGAAACCCATGATTGCACTGACTTTAAACCAGGACTAAACCGAGACTAAACCAGGTCTATACCAGGACAATACCAGGACTATACTGAGACTAAAACAGAACTAAACCAGCACTAAACCAGGACTAAACCAAGACTAAACCATGCCTATACTCTACCGGGACTACAATGAGATTAAAACATAACTAAACTAGGACTAAATTAAGACTAAACCAGGGCTATACCAGGACTACAATGAGACTAAAACAGAACTAAACCAGCACTTAACCAGGACAGAACCAAGACTAAACCATGGCTATACCAGGACTACACTGAGACTAAACCAGGGATAAATCAGGACTAAATCAGGATTAAACCAGGAATAAACCAGGACTAGACTGAGACCAAACCAGGACTATGAGAGAGTCTTACTGTCCACATGTTGACCAGGCGTCTGCATAGGAATGGGTCGAGGTTCCAGTGGAGCCAGGGCAGACAGCTGATGTAGAAGACCTCATGTCCCAGACCCGAGGAGAAGAGGAAGAGCAGGTGCAGCAGAGGAGTCCTCACCTCGTACTCAGGTCTTCTCCCATTCTGAACAACACAAATATACAGACCCTCTACTATAAGAGTTTAAAAGTTTAAAAGAGTGTAGAATGTGACTTGGTCTTAACTTGAGCTCAGTTTAGTACTGACTCCTTGTGTTTCCTTTTAGTGCTGGTTTAGTCCTAGTTTAGTCTTGGTTTAGTCCCAGTTTTGATGTGGTCTAAATGTGTCTTAAAGTCATATTGCATCAAGTGGTATTGGTACCACATATTGAAAACTGTGCAATACATCATTAGAACTGTCTACTAAAGAGTCCAATGCCTGAATCCACACTTTGCCACTCTGATCAGAAAAGGAATGTAAACACGTCTTTACAAGTGGCAGTGTGTGGAAAGTCTATGGAGCCTGAACAACAAGAAAAGCCAGTCGCACTTTTGCATTGTCATTTAAATATTCACCTACGAAAATGGACTTCAGACTTGTCTTTATCACGTTTCCAGCATGCTTAGCCAATATAGAATAACATACAATGAGTTAAAATACTATGCAAAGGTAAGTGTGGTCTTTTAATGGTAATTTAGCTGTTTTCTTATTAAAGTTACCAGCTGAGACTAATCTAATATAGCATAGTTTCTTAATGTATATTCACTATATGGTTGCACTATATCCCCACTGAAATTATGATCTCTTGCTTAGAATGTTTCACAGTGTGGCATTAAACCTCTATAACTATTGAAACAAGCAGGTCAGGTCTGAGGAGAGGCAAGACGCTCAGAGAAAGACAGCAAATTGAATGAATGAAAGCCATGTTATTTTATATACTGTGGAACATTCCCGCTAAAGACATTTCCAAAGTGACAAGCAGAAAGGTTTTATAGTACACCTTTAAAGTTTAGCTATATTTATTCTATACAATAACTTCAGATCACCTGACTTACTTTAACGCAGTGTCCATTCTCTTTATATTCCGCATTGGAGTTGTTGTCAAATCTTTGGCGCGGTTGTCCACATGCTTCGTCTTTATGCGCAGTTCCTGTTCTGCACGTTTGGTTCCGGCTCATGTTGTGATGTGATTCGGCTCCTTCTCGGATCAGGTACAGCCCACAGCATCTCTGGAACCGGGCAACGAGCTCCGAGTCCTGAAGGTATGCGAGAAGTTCCAACATGATACCCAAAAAACGCGCGCAGAAGCGTTGAGCGCAGAAGAGTCGCTACCGGGGTAGAACTGGAACTGCCCGCACACAGAGCGCTCAGGTGCGGCTGTGAGGTGCAGGTGTGCCCGGGGGGAGGGCGGGACAAGGGCGGGCCCACTTTGAAGCTGTAGTAAGATGCCTATTAGGGCGTATTAGCTTGTATATGTATGACACAATACAAGGTTATATAGTTAACAACAGATAATCTCACGGTTTTATTGTGAAAGACGAGGATTCCATTACGCATGTTGCAATCATCATGCTCACACAAAGTGGCACACTTCATTTTGTGGCCATGACTCAACACTAAACTATGTATAAGTGAAATAGTTCTTAGAGAGTTTTGTTTGTGTATCGTGTATTGCCATGTAAATCCTACTTAACCTGGGTTAAACACAGCACTGTCATGTCAACCAGAACATGAAAAGGACTAAACCAGGAGAAACCAACAAAGTAAAACTATTATAACCATTTTAAAATTGTATTGCATAACTAGTTTCTCGTAACAGTCTTGTGATAGCCTGTGGTCTGATCTTATGTAGGCTATTTTTTTTTTCTCTTAACTGTGTTTAAAGGAGCCCAAACTGAAATAAGGTTAGGAGCCGAATACCTCATAAAGCTCACTGGTTTTCATAATACAGAATAGGCAAACTATAGGCCAACATTTAGCAGTTAAGGGCACAGTAATTATTCTATACAGACACAACGGGGACAGAAAAAATAGGATGTTGTATCATAAATAATGTAATACCTTTTTTCTGCTTGCACACAGCAAAAATGTAACTGATACGTCTGTGTCTATACTATTATTGTTGCTGAGCATGTAATAAGTGGTGAAGTGTGTTAGGCTGACGTAAGGAACTACGCAAATACGTTCTCATGTAGCTGTTGTTTATGTATCTTATAGCTATAATATTCTAAACATTTAAGTTCATAGTGCAGTTACCGGCTATACTGTTACACCCTCATCATAATTACTTCCATTGTGGCCACTTATTATTGATTTTCATATATAACTGTATATTTAAAAGTAGGCTTCTTTCAACCGATGGCAAATGTGTCAGACTACTGTTAGCCTCCTGTCCTACTGATGAAATAGCTTAAAATAATAATAATCTGCCAACAAAATAACAGCATCACACAATAGTTGTTCTTTATTTCTTGTAGTGTCACACTTAGTTCCAGTAACAGCTTTGTTTACAGGCAGGGTGAGATGACGCCCCCGTTGACCAAATAAGCTCATCCCGTTGTTGTGCGTGCTCTGCGTAATAACGGAGCCGTTACAGCCCGATGACACCGAACAACATCAGTCCCTCTGAGCGCCACGCGGACGCCTCTCTCTCCCCCTGCACGTGTTTGGGTGAGCCACGCACCGCCATTACATCATCTCTCCCCCAAGCACGAGCGCATGGGCGAAGGGACGTTACAAAGCCGGAATCCCAATCGTTTTAGACACAAAGGAGCGAGGATAAACAGCGGCGGGACGTGATGCCGTGTGAATGAGCTGAGCGCGGAGAGGAGGGGGCAGAGGAGAGACTGCACCGTCATCAGCACCAGTCCTGCTCCTTTGTGTTTCCGCGGAGGATGTGAATGGCGAAACATGACATGGCAGAGGTAGAGCTGGCATCAAACCCAGCGGAGCCCCCCGGCGGTGCGCCCTCGTCCTCCGCGTTCCCGTACGAGGAGTACGAGTGTAAAATATGTTACAATTACTTCGACCTTGACCGGCGCGCGCCCAAGATACTGGAGTGTCTGCACACTTTCTGCGAGGAGTGTCTGAACACGCTGCACCTGCGCGAGGAGCGGCCATGGCGCATCAGCTGCCCCGTGTGCCGCCACCGGACTCCCGTGCCCGACTACCGCATCCAGAACCTGCCCAACAACACCAAGGTGACGGAGGACTTCCCTCTCTACATCGACTCGGACCCCCTCCCTCAGGACGCTCTGCCCCCGTACCCCCCGCCTCTGCACCCGGCCCTCGTCGCCCTCCGCCGCGAGGAGGCATCGGGCACGTCCAGCGTGAGCCACAGTCAGGCCACGCCGTCCACCACCGTGTCCACCGCCACCACGTTGTCCCAGGACTCCGTGCGCTACGACAGCTGTCAGAGCTGTAAGCGCGTGGCGCTCACCACAGGCTGCGTGTGCGTCATCTTCTCCTTTCTGTCCATGCTCGTGCTTCTCTTCATGGGCCTGATCTTCGTTCACAGCCACAGTATCCCGCCCTCTCCGGCCGGACCCATCTGCCTGTCTGTGGCCAGCATCCTCGCCATGTTCTCTGTGGTGGTCACGTGGCTCATCTGCTGGCTTAAATACAGACCGGACCACGACACAGGACGCACGTCTGCCACCAGTAACTCCAGGAGAAACGCCTGACTCTGTCTGTTATTGTGGTGTGTGTATATAGACTTTGCTCCCTTTACTTTTGTAGGAACATAACGTCCCGAAATGGCCTTGTCTCATATAGCAAACACCGCGGGCCTTCATGGAGCAATAGGCCTGGTCCCGAGTCTCTCCGTGGCGCGTGAACTGTTAGGTCCAGTCGGTTGGTTTATTTCCGGAGGCTCTTGGTTTGATGACTGAATGTGGAGCGCCTCTGCCCAGGTCGACCCTCCTCCCCCTCCCGCTGATAATATGCACCTCCTCCGCTCTATGCCACTGTATGATATCACTCTGTCTTTACGGGCTCCTCTCTTGTACAGATTTTGGGCTGGGCTGGTACTTGGTGTTTTGGAGTCAGACCCACAGAAAACAGGCTGTAAATAATTGAATAATGCGTTGGCTTTGGTCCAGACAGGGTCCAGATAGTCCGGATTCTCTAGGGCCGTGTTTCCCAGACAGATATGGAAATGACTGAACGCTAGATTTAAAAGCACTTTATGTATTTACATGTATTTATATTGCTTGGAGTAAGTTTGTCTGGATTAGAATGTATGAGAATACTGACCAAAATGACTGTGATCTGCACTCTTGAATGTGCACTATGTAACATTTCTGGTGGAAGGTCTGCCACCTGCTTATTTCCATGGAGATGTAACAGTTTTATTTAGAATGTTCCAGGGTATGGCATTACATTTTTCTATGTCTGTGGAGACAATCAATTGATGGCACCAGGCTAACTTTAGGAAATGTATGGCAACTGTGGAACATTCCAAGCAGTGCCATAACAACTCTAAGGAGACAAGCAGGTGGTGGACTCTTCACCAGAAAAGTTACATAGTGCGCCTTTAATTGGGCAAGTCTTGCATTCCGATGTGACCTAAAGTGATTGGAGAAACAACACAAGCTTGTGACTGCCCTGTGAAAGGAATTTGTAATTTTTTTAAGCATATTTATTTATATTTTATCATAATATCGCTGTAGTAAACAATGTGGGTGAAGTGTCTTGCCCAAGGACCCATGGTAACCTATACACGGTGGATTGAATAGAATGGGAATCATACTGCCAACACTTCTATTGCTATAATTAAACTAAGGCACATTTTACATTGCCTTTTCTATTAGTAACATTGGGAAACACTGCCTTATGGAAAATGGACTGTATTGATGTGAACTTTGAGACAGTACCAGGAACAGCGCATTTCTCATACTTGGGTCTATGGGTGCAATGCTTTTTATTATTTATTTATTTTTGCTGACGTTTTTGAAATGTCTTTTTCTTTGCATGAACGATTTCTGAGGGTCAAAACCACACCAGTGGTTCTCAAACGATCTCCTGTGTAGATTATTGTAGATACAGGGTTTCTGATATAGATTTGGGGTGCTTTCACACTTCCGCAAACACCATAAAAACACAATTTTGATTAGATCAGGACTAGAACAAGACCACTGAAGACTATTTAATCCTGTTTTAGACCTGGTTTAGTTCTTGAATAGACTTGGGGTACATTCACAATATTCAAAATTGAACCCAACCTTGGACTAAACCCAGAAGTAAACTTGGGTTAGATCAGGACTAAACTAGGACTAGAACATGTCCAAACCAAAGTCTAAACCAGGACTAAGGACTGGGTGATCTTGTTTAGTCTTGGTTTAGACCCAATTTCGGAATTGCTTTAGACCTCATTTAGACCAGGTTTATGTCCTGTTTTAATCCACAGCACCTGTAATTGAAATAATACAAGAGAAATCAATTTTATAACATATTGTGGAACATTATTAGTCTGATTCATCAGTCGGTTTCACTTCGTAGAAACTGTCTGATCTCGCAGCGCCAGAATTTGTTCGCTTGACAGTAGGTGGGTACTTTTTCAAATTTAACCAATCGCTGTTATTTGGTCGTGATGTATGTAATGCGCCGCTAACGGGGTTAACTGGTATATTAAGCTTTTCCCAAATCCCGTAGGAAGAAGGACAATAAAGTCTTTCCCCTTGATGAAATTCACAGACCATTCTCTTTGTTCCGGCTTTAAATCCTCGATCTCGCTGATTGGCTGGTGCCCGAACTTGCACTTCCGGGGGTTTTGTGAACCATCTACTGTATTCTGATTCCTGACCTAGTCTTTGGATAGAAATGAAACTGGGCGGAGGCACTAGGTGGCACCAGCCTGGCTAGAACATTATAGGCAATGCAATAACATCTCTCCAAGTAGACAAACAACTGGCATACTGTCCACTAGAAAAGTTACGTAGTGCACCTTTAAAGCCCATTATCTACAGTTGGTCTGTTTGAGAATCACTGGCCTGACTTTCTATCTGAAGTAATTGAGAGATATTTTAATCATCTCTTGACTTGTGTGCCTCATCTTACTGCTATCTGAAGCAAACATCACTGTAACCATAGCGACATGCACCGTGCACCATGACAGCATCAGTCTCCTGTTCTCACCATCCACACTGCAATTACAGGGTCCCCGTCTTTATACACCCCCAAAATGTTTTTACACTTCTTTTTAGCATTTTCACTTGGCTTTGTAAAGGTGTTTGACCTATATTCAACACGATTTCAAGCATTTTCATTTTTCTTAAAGTGCATATGACAGGCTTTCATGTTTTTCTAATTTATTGGTTTGGTGAGGTTGTATCTGTGGTAAATATTTATCAGTTTTATGTCAGTTAGTAGGAAAGGAAACAGCTAAGAGGAAAAGTACAAAACAGGAAGTAAGAGTACAATACTCTTTCCTATAGCCCATGTAACTCTTTACACACAAGGAACGTATTTTCTGACAGTTTAAACATAGATTTTAAAAAATACAGGTGCTGTCATTTATTTTTATTGGTCAAATCATAGTTATTGTGCAATTTCGACAAGTTTTGGCCCTAGTTAACATGGTTGCTGGGTAACAAATAACCTCTATGTACTGTATATCATATTTGCTTCCCATGTCCTACCAGATAGTACAATTATGAACTTCACCAAAACCAGAATAGAACTAGATCTTTAATATTCAGTATGTTAACTGTTTTAGTCAAATTAATAGTCTAACCTGTCATATGCACTTTAAAGGAACATCACATGGAAATTGTAAAGGGGCTATACTGTATGTAGTCTTTTTATATTCCTTTTTGGTGGTAACACATTTCAGTAGGTTGTGACATAAGCCAAAGACTATGCACACAACACTATTATTGTAAGCGCAGTGATATTAACAAAGCAGTTTTTTCAAAAGATGTCACATATTACTCCAAATTCAACTACCATTTATTTAAGTTTTTGTACTTGCATACCAAATTACATGCCTCAAAACTGGCCAGGGAAACAGAGGTGTATAGAAAACCCCCATGAAGGCTTTTTAAATAAGACAGTTTCTATTTTCATATTTGTCATGCCTTCTTCAGATCTTCAGATATGATTCGCCCACCTGGACCCTACTGTGCATGTCCTGGTTGGTTGGAAATTAGATTCTTTAATGTAAGATAAAAGCCTTTGAGCTTCACCTTAAGGTCTATCACATGAAATCAAAGTTAACTTTTGTTTGGCAAGGTAAAGCTAATATCTTCCTTAGTGTAGTAATAGTAATGAATTTTGCACAATGCTACAGTGGCTCTTAGGATACAATCAATCTCACTTTTCAAAACTGAATGTCAACGCACGTGTCCACTAACCTGTTTAAAAGAGCTGCATGTAGCCTGTGCCCTTAATAGTTTAAAAGAGGAACTACAACCACAACTGAACCTGGGTTGCCAGAGACTTAACCTGCAGATAGAACACATATATACATGTTCTCATTGTCAGTATATGAACTGGCCATGCATCATATGAATTCACTCACTGAGCTGCAGAGGCTGCACTAGCACTGATTTATGATTGACTGCAAGTTCTGGGATTTAGGTATTGACCATTCAGATCAGAGAGGGTCCTTTTAGGTCTAAACCAACTGGATTTCAGCATTGAAACTGGCAACCCAAATAAGAGACGCTTTTTCAGAATCGTCTTGAGAACCAAAACACCAAACATAAATAATTGTTTTTGTAACTAAGAATAAATCAGCATTACAATTCTTCTCAGTAAAAGCTATACTTGATTTGAGCATATTTAACCTCGTATCTGGGGACACAGATGGGTCAAGTTTATGACATTTAAAATGCAAATTGTACATCCAGTTCCTTTAAGCTTTGAGCACATTTCATTTGAATGCCCCACTTGTTTTATATGGACGACCTGATTTATAGTGTAGTTGAAAATGCAGAGTGAAATGCTGTGCCAGCGTAGAATTAACCAATTCCAAAAGCCAAAGTCATTGTGTCGCCGCATCATTGCACACTGCTGCTTTATAGAGGGGAGGGGGGGGCACTGCAAAAACAATCAAATTATGTCAGAGCTGCTTTTCATGCTTTAATCAAGCCTCTTTTACCCCTGTCCCAACTTTTGATTCACTTTCACCGTCCTATGTCCCAAAGTAATGTGGGGCCTTGGACATTACATACTTTTTCACTGAAGAATAGTTAGCGTAATTAGGATTTTTCAAAAAAATCTTGCTCTGTTTTGTTTGGTATTTTACTTCGTGGTGACATGGGCAGCAGATGTGACATAGGTAGAGGTAATTACAGTTCTGTTAACTAGCAACCATAATGTTAACAATGGAGATTTTAGAATGTGATGATGTCATAGTCCCAGAAAAAAACTGTTTTCCCTATTGACTACATCCTACTTTTTCATGAAATATCCAAAAGATAAATTCACAAATGTTGAACCTGATCATTTCTATTACAGACCAGACCCAAGAACTCACTGTATTACAACAAAAATCAGCATTCATCTGTAATCCAGTTAAACAGAAGTTATGGTCAGACAAAAATAAATGACAACACCTTTTGTTTTGTTAAAGCAATGTTTAATCTGCAAACCGTCACTGCATTTTGGACATAATTTTAAGAACTTGCTGCTACTTCCTGCATTTTTCGTATGTTGCTTCTGATCTCCCCCCCACCCCCACCCCACAAACTGCCATTGAACTGATGAAAAACTGATCAATATTGGCTACAGATACTATCCCACCAAACCAAGTCATAATTAGAAAATAATGTAATGTCGCTGTCATAGGCACTTTAAACTTCTAGTGTTTTGTATGTATTTATTTGGGAAAACTCTAATTGGAATCTGTAGTTGTTGTTTTTAACTGCACAATGAGAGATTGGAGACACATTTCTGAAATAAAGGAACATTGGTATCTGTATTACTTCCTGTCTTTTCTGTTTTCTGTCCCTGTTTGTAGACCACTGCTGCCAACGTGAGTGATGCCAGTTCTTACATAATCCATTGATATAAAACCAGTCTGACACAATAAAATTGTGCTATGTAACAAACCTGCCCCCTACTGGACATTTAAATGCACACTGGGGCCAAAATCTGACATAGCCAAAAATTTTATATTTCACCAGGTTCGGCCCTGTTGTTTCAGCTCAGATTTGATCAAATTTTGAAATTGCTAAAACATGCTAGAAACGTAAAAAATTAGATTTTTTGTGAAATATGGCGAAATATCAAGTTTTTGGCCATGTCAGGTTTTGGCCCCGAACTGCCTTTAAATGAGAAAAGATGCTCTGTATGTACTGGGGTGGTCACAGACATTTCCAGAAAGTTTTGAGCAATTTCAAAATTTGGTCAAAATTGAGCCGAAATGACATGACCGTGAAATAAATTAACATGAAAAAATTATATAATAATAATAATAATAATAAAAATGATAAGAAGAAAAAGAAGAATAAAAGAAAGAATGCATTAAAATATTGAACATTAAACAACTGATTAATATTTTTAATTTTTAAAATAATATTAAATTGACTATATTAAATTGAAATTAAAAAAAATATATAAAGTATATTAACATAAATCAACAAAAGTTAAGATGAAAATATATGTTGAAAATAATGAAAAATCATATTAAATAATATAATAATAAAAATCAAATAAAAAAAGTAATTAAATAAGAATTAAAATAAATACATTAAATTAAATAAAAATAAATAAAAGTTATAAAATTAAATCAAATTAAATTAAATACAATATTGTTAAATCTTCTGGGTGGTCTGAGGTTGTTTGGGGACGTTTCCAGCCAGTTTTGAGCATTTTGAAAATTTGGTCAAATTTGAGCCGAAACGGACGAAATGTCATTTTTGGCCATGTCAGGTTTTGGCCCCAAACTGCCTTCAAATGACAAAAGACGCTCCAATATGGCCATCTGGGGTGGTCTGAGGTTGTTTGGGACGTTTCCAGCCAGTTTTGAGCATTTTGAAAATTTGGTCAAATTTGAGCCGAAACGACAGGGCCGGTCCTGACGAAAAATGTCATTTTTTGGCCATGTCAGCTTTCGGCCCCAAACTGCCTTCAAATGACAAAAGATGCTCCAATATGGCCATCTGGGGTGGTGTGAGGTTGTTTGGGGACGTTTCCAGCCAGTTTTGAGCATTTTGAAAATTTGGTCAAATTTGAGCCGAAACGACAGGGCCGGTCCTGACGAAAAATGTCATTTTTGGCCATGTCAGCTTTTGGCCCCAAACTGCCTTCAAATGACAAAAGATGCTCCAATATGGCCATCTGGGGTGGTCTGAGGTTGTTTGGGGACGTTTCCAGCCAGTTTTGAGCATTTTGAAAATTTGGTCAAATTTGAGCCGAAACGACAGGGCCGGTCCTGACGAAAAATGTCATTTTTTGGCCATGTCAGCTTTTGGCCCCAAACTGCCTTCAAATGACAAAAGATGCTCCAATATGGCCATCTGGGGGTGGTCTGAGGTTGTTTGGGGACGTTTCCAGCCAGTTTTGAGCATTTTGAAAAATTTGGTCAAATTTGAGCCGAAACGACAGGGCCGGTCCTGACGAAAAATGTCATTTTTGGCCATGTCAGCTTTTTGGCCCCAAACTGCCTTCAAATGACAAAAGATGCTCCAATATGGCCATCTGGGGTGGTCTGAGGTTGTTTGGGGACGTTTCCAGCCAGTTTTGAGCATTTTGAAAATTTGGTCAAATTTGAGCCGAAACGACAGGGATGAAAAATGTCATTTTTGGCCATGTCAGCTTTCGGCCCCAAACTGCCTTCAAATGACAAAAGATGCTCCAATATGGCCATCTGGGGTGGTCTGAGGTTGTTTGGGGACGTTTCCAGCCAGTTTTGAGCATTTTGAAAATTTGGTCAAATTTGAGCCGAAACGACAGGGCCGGTCCTGACGAAAAATGTCATTTTTGGCCATGTCAGCTTTCGGCCCCAAACTGCCTTCAAATGACAAAAGATGCTCCAATATGGCCATCTGGGGTGGTCTGAGGTTGTTTGGGGACGTTTCCAGCCAGTTTTGAGCATTTTGAAAATTTGGTCAAATTTGAGCCGAAACGACAGGGCCGGTCCTGACGAAAAATGTCATTTTTGGCCATGTCAGCTTTTGGCCCAAAACTGCCTTCAAATGACAAAAGATGCTCCAATATGGCCATCTGGGGTGGTCTGAGGTTGTTTGGGGACGTTTCCAGCCAGTTTTGAGCATTTTGAAAATTTGGTCAAATTTGAGCCGAAACGACAGGGCCGGTCCTGACGAAAAATGTCATTTTTGGCCATGTCAGCTTTCGGCCCCAAACTGCCTTCAAATGACAAAAGATGCTCCAATATGGCCATCTGGGGTGGTGTGAGGTTGTTTGGGGACATTTCCAGCCAGTTTTGAGCATTTTGAAAATTTGGTCAAATTTGAGCCGAAACGACAGGGCCGGTCCTGACGAAAAATGTCATTTTTGGCCATGTCAGCTTTCGGCCCCAAACTGCCTTCAAATGACAAAAGATGCTCCAATATGGCCATCTGGGGTGGTCTGAGGTTGTTTGGGGACGTTTTCCAGCCAGTTTTGAGCATTTTGAAAATTTGGTCAAATTTGAGCCGAAACACGACAGGGCCGGTCCTGACGAAAAATGTAATTTTTGGCCATGTCAGCTTTCGGCCCCAAACTGCCTTCAAATGACAAAAGATGCTCCAATATGGCCATCTGGTGTGAGGTTGTTTGGGGACGTTTCCAGCCAGTTTTGAGCATTTTGAAAATTTGGTCAAATTTGAGCCGAAACGACAGGGCCGGTCCTGACGAAAAAATGTCATTTTTGGCCATGTCAGCTTTCGGCCCCAAACTGCCTTCAAATGACAAAAGATGCTCCAATATGGCCATCTGGGGTGGTCTGGGGTTGTTTTGGGGACGTTTCCAGCCAGTTTTGAGCATTTTGAAAAATTGGTCAAATTTGAGCCGAAACGACAGGGCCGGTCCTGACGAAAAATGTCATTTTTGGCCATGTCAGGTTTTGGCCCCAAACTGCCTTCAAATGACAAAAGATGCTCCAATATGGCCATCTGGGGTGGTCTGGAGTTGTTTGGGGACGTTTCCAGCCAGTTTTGAGCATTTTGAAAATTTGGTCAAATTTGAGCCGAAACGACAGGGACGAAAAATGTCATTTTTTGGCCATGTCAGCTTTCGGCCCCAAACTGCCTTCAAATGACAAAAGATGCTCCAATATGGCCATCTGGGGTGGTCTGAGGTTGTTTGGGGACGTTTCCAGCCAGTTTTGAGCATTTTGAAAATTTTGTCAAATTTGAGCCGAAACGACAGGGCCGGTCCTGACGAAAAATGTCATTTTTGGCCATGTCAGCTTTCGGCCCCAAACTGCCTTCAAATGACAAAAGATGCTCCAATATGGCCATCTGGGGTGGTGTGAGGTTGTTTGGGGACGTTTCCAGCCAGTTTTGAGCATTTTGAAAATTTGGTCAAATTTGAGCCGAAACGACAGGGACGAAAAATGTCATTTTTGGCCATGTCAGCTTTCGGCCCCAAACTGCCTTCAAATGACAAAAGATGCTCCAATATGGCCATCTGGGGTGGTGTGAGGTTGTTTGGGGACGTTTCCAGCCAGTTTTGAGCATTTTGAAAATTTGGTCAAATTTGAGCCGAAACACGACAGGGCCGGTCCTGACGAAAAATGTCATTTTTGGCCATGTCAGGTTTTGGCCCCAAACTGCCTTCAAATGACAAAAGATGCTCCAATATGGCCATCTGGGGTGGTGTCTGAGGTGGTTTGAGGGAGCATTTTGAAAAATTTGGTCAAATTTGAGCCGAAACGACAGGGCCGGTCCTGACGAAAAATGTCATTTTTGTTACATTTCCATGGAGACAAGCAGGTAGCAAACCCTCCACCAGAAAAGGTACTCCATGCAAGATTAATGCACTTTATCAGTAGTATATGCCTGCTCTGTGGGGTTTAATCGTGTGGGTTAAATTGTGAACTATAGCACCATCTTCTGGTGCCTGCATTACCTGCACTTACTGTTTCCACACAGACTCTGAGTCTTCTTCACTGTAATGAAGAACTCAAGATGAGGTCACATGGCTGTAACATTGTGTTGACAAAAATATTAATTCACTCATGTGTAGCTATTTTAATGCTAAGCTGGTAGCTGTGTGTTGTACTGGAGGTATTTTATGTTTGTTCGGTCATGATCTGCTGAAATTAGCTTGCATTTAATTTGACCATGTTTTTACTTGTGTATTTAACTTTGCTATCGGCTTAATGACTGTCTTCTACAGATGTGACAGCACACATGGTGACTGTCCACTACAATGCAACTCACAACACCTCTTTTCTATATTTGATGTTATTTTGCTTTCATGTTATGTAATGGTAAACAAGGTTCTAGTCCATTTCATTAATTAAAATGAGTTAGCACAAAGGGTAAAAGTGTAGTACTATAGCAATTTCTCTCAATTATCCACCACAAATTCCACATTTTACAACAGTAAATAAAATAAAGTTGTTGGCAGTTTCTTGATTTAAGGTAATTCAATGTTTATACTACAGCAATATTTGCCTTTTATTGATCTATTTCTGTTTGCATTTCACAGTTTTCCACCACAATTTCCATATATTAAAAATGTAATTTTTTTTATTTATTAATTTTTATTATTATTATATTACAGTCTAATGCTGTTGCCTTTTCAGTTTTTCACCCAATATTTCACATGTTAAAAAATAAAGTTTTTGGCAGTTTCTTGATTTAAGGTCATTTAATGTTTAAACTATTTTACATTTTATGGTTTATTACTGTTGCCATTTCACAGTTATTCTCTTTAAATTTTCACAGACATTTTTTACAGTGCAGGTATGTAAGGTACAAGTGTGAAAAAGGTTTTATGCAAATAT